TGTGCAACACAGAGAAGACAAGTAGTGATTTTACAGCATCTTACTATGTTGATGGACAGTGACTATGAACGGGGATGTGGGGGAGACTTGGTGAAAGGGGGAGCCTAGTAAACATGTCCTTCATGTAACTGTAGATTAATGATACCAAAATAAAATTTAAAAAATAAATAAATAAAATAAAATAAAATAAAAAAATGTATACTGGGGGCTTGGAGGAATGGGGTTGCTCTGGCTGTCTAACCTATATCTCTCTCTTGGGCGAGTGCTGATTAAAGCATATTGTCCTGGGTAACTCTACCAAATTACTGCAGACACCATGGATATAGGGGTGGGGGTCCCATTAGCCAATCATCCACAGAGGTGATGGAGAAAGTCCTACTCTGTCTTCTTAATCATGCCAGTACCAAGTTGTTTAGAAAGCTACCCTTGGTTTCCCAGCTCACTCAAGGGAAGAGCAACATCCTTGAATGGATTCCAAGCCCACAGTGGTCTGCTTCCAGACCTGCATTTCCCTAATATGCACTCTTAGCCTTACTCACCCATCTTTCACCTCATTGGCCTTCTCGGTGGCCTGTGAGTACCCCAGGCACATTGCTGCACAAAGCCTTCCTACCTTTTCTGCCAAGCACATTCTTTAAATATGCCCAAGGGCCACTACAGCACTTCCTTCAGGGCTTTGCTTACATGTTACCTCAGAGAGGGCTTTTCTTGATTTTTCCTTACAGCATTTGCCAGCACTGGATGTAGAATAATTTATTTATAGGTTTGTTGTCTTTCTGAACTACAAAGTAAACTCCAAGGGGACTGAGATTCAGTTTTCTTCTTTGAATCCCTAGCACCTAAGACTCTACTTAGAATACAATAGGCACTGAAAATTTTCAACAAGTAAGTTTAATATCAAAGCTTTTGTTAATGCTTTTAATGTATTTATGAAAATGTTGCATTGAAATCAAACTTTAGATGACAATATCCTTTATCGATTTGTTCCTGGTGGCCTAAGGCTTAGTTGCAAACTCCTAATAGTTGACTTGCCCCTTGAAGACCAGTTCACTCACTCATTCACTCACTCATTCAGTTATTTATTGAGTGCCTACAGATGTGGATACAGTTGCAGAAGATAAGGCAGTGAACAAAGCAGATTTTTTTTTAAATCCTGCCTTGAGCTTACAGTCTGTGAATTGTCAAAGGAATAGTTACAAATCCCAGTCACTCAAATCTTTGATGCCTTTTATTATTTTTAATGAAAAAGACACAGTAGCTAATGGAAATAGATATCAGCAGAGATGATCCCTGACATGTAGGTGGCCTGCCAGTTTCGGCTACCTACAACCCATCCTTCACGCACACATACACACCTACTCTACTTGCCACTATATAGGCAGCAGCACTGACATCTATCTTTCAAACTGAAGCCAAGAAAATATTCAAAGGCAAAACAGAAGGACATCCATAGACCCTGATGCTGGTCACAGCTCATTGTGTTTAGGCTGGTAATAATGTTGACATCATTCTCATGAGACATGTAAAAATGTTTTTTTCAATTTTAAAAAGTAAAAGTTTAAAGGGTAGAAGTGAAAGTTGGTATATGACTCAACCCATGTTTTTTCTTAGCAGACTAATTGTATTTCAAAAAAGATAACCCTGTTGGAATGACAGAAAACACATGGGGGAAAAGAAAGTTCAAGAATATTTTGTGTTTTCAGTAACAGCTCTAAAAGTAACAAAAAAAAGAGAGAGAGAGAGAAGGAAAGAAATGTTTACACATTTCTCCACAGCTCAAGAGTTTGTGCGGGGAGGAATAAAGACTCCTCAGACTAATTTGAATTTTAAACATACCAGAATTACTAATAACCTGTCTTATGTCAGTAATTAAGATTATTTCCAAAGTGATTAAGATTCTATACATACTATTTGCTACACACAGGAGGGAAAAGTTATACCAAATAACTCAATCCTAGACTGTTAAATAGTGGCTGTTAAAATACGAAGCGTTGGAGACCATGTGGTTTCCATCTGGGATCCCAAGTAGTGAACAGGCTCCTAATACTGGCAGAGATGGACCAGGACACCTCCAAGCTAGATACAAGGTTGCACACCACTTGGGTGATGCTAGCCCCTAGCTTCAAGGAAAGTTAATATGCCTTCTTCTCTTTCCTGGACCACCACCACCTTCTCCTCCCTTCTCCTTCCCAAAGTAGGCAAGTGCTGACTGAGGGGCAGTACAGGGAATTCCTCCTTATCCAAGGATACACCTCCTCTCCTGGACAACTAGGCACCTTCAGAGTCAAATCAGATCTGCAGTCTGTCACTCTGTGATCGCATGGCCAGCTGACACATCGTATTGTCTTCTCTGGAAGCAGTTTCCAGCCCACTGAGAGAGCCTGAACCCTATGGAAGGAGGCAGGCCATGATCTTATTCCCACTCAGCACACATTCTGAGAGGTAAAGATGGAGAAATTATGTACTATCACGATGCAGAAGTTTTTCATCACACACATACACATGCAATCATTTCTTAGAATTTTTTCAAATTCTTACAGAAGGAAAAAAAGACCCTGACATTATAAAGACTCAAGATCAGCAGAACTGATAGTGTAGCAGAAAATGAAAATTCCTATTTTCTGAGTCAGACAATGTTAGAAACATTCAAATGATGACTAAGGGCAAGGGACGCCAAGAAGAAGGTTGTAGACGCTGTTCAGTACTGTTCTGGGCCACATCCCAGACACAACTAAAAAGAGGTCAATTGAACTGCTGAGAAGAGAGCTGCACCGTGAAAACCAGCTGAAAACGGACTCCTCAGTGTCATCCACTAGTTATTTTCCCGCTGCCTCACACTTCACTGACATGCTGACCGTGCGCACTCCAACCAGAATGGGGCAGAATTTTGTACCAACCGCAGGCGCAGCAGCCCGGGGCTTAGATGTGGCTGTTCATTCTGGTTTTGAGACGTGAGTGTCAGGATGAAGTTGTAGCCTTCTTTTAGCTTCATCTATACGAAAGGAATCTGAAAAATGGTTGTTGTGCCTGCTTCAAGAACTAAGGGAGCTATCGACCAAGGTAGTAGTTGAAAATAGTTTCATAACAGTGAAATGCTATAGAGATGTCCCATGTTTGTAGTGGCTATAATCCACTTCCTCAGCCAAGACATAAAATAGGGTCCTGTCTTTCTTTAACGGTCAATAGGACTCTAGGTCTTGGCTCAGCACAGAGGTCACCTCTTTCTATCATACCATAGTTTTGCTGGACAGGTTACACCCAATGGTCAATTCTGGTCATCCTGGCCTCACTCTGGAAGCTGAAAACGTGGAAAGCACCCTGAATCTCCCTGAAAACACCTTGAAGTTAGCATAACTCCAGCAGGAGAACATACACCACAAACCCTGCCTGAAACTGGTTGCTTAGGAACGGCTCCTAGCACCCAAGGTAGCTGCAACTTGCATCACAGTCCCTGTGTTCCAGCCTCTTGCAGAATCAGTTCACCTTTCTGCATAATTTACGTAATTCTAGGTAACTCCCCTCTTTCTGCTAGAGTTTTCATTTGAATGCAATCCTTGAAACTATAATATACAACAAAGCCAGAGTCCAGAGACTTGATATCACCATTAAGGAGGAGGAAGCAGGTCTCCGTCGCTTGACCAGAGAGTGTAGGCTGCTGTGGCTGGAGACCAGGGAATAGGGAGAGCAAGGTGAGGCTGAAAACGCTGGCTGGGGTCAGTCATGCAGGATCTCACAGGCTACGAAACGAGATTGGTTTTTATTTTGTTTGTTATGGGAAGTGACTAACGAGTTTTAAGCAGAGGAATAACCGGCCATATTTATAATCAGAAAAGATTCATCTTCAAATTGCACAACAGTTTTGATGAATTAAGGGGCTTTGGTAATCTCTCTGGTAGCAGCTGACACTAGGTGAGAGGGTTCAGAGGGAATATAGAAGGAAGAAGATATTCAGGAAGATATGCGGACTTTCAGGAAGCGACACCAACAAGGCTTGGAGACAGAAAGAATTCAGGGAGTGAGAGGAGAGACCTCATGAGTGACTCGTGTTTTTGCATGAAATTGGCGTGGAGAAAGGCTATTAGCAAAATATCAGAAGGCAGTTTTGAAGGTGATTCATTCAATCATGGTGGTGTTGAATCTGAGTCGTGACTGGAATGATTCCTTTGAGCTCAAACACTTGGTATGGAAAAGTGAAGACAGTAATTGATAATGTGAATTTTCAGAGAGAGTTGGGGATACAGAAAAAAAGACCTAATGAAAGGATTGGTATCAGTAAGGGCAGGACCCCTGTAATGTGACTGAGGGAAAGGTTAAAAGTATGGTTGCAAATATGGGTAGCTTCCTGGTTTTGACTGAGGGACGCTGAATTTCCATATGATGACTTTTCTTATGGATGGAAAAAGCAGGGTCATCTGTTGGGAACAGCATGGGAAATAGGAAGTGTGAGGGTAGAGAAGGCTTGAAATATCTATTAAAGTTAAAAAATATGTGTTGACTAGAGAAAGGGCTGTCAGGGATAGTGTTTAAAATTAGGAACACAGAGAGATGAGTAAATATTGGATGGCTAGGGGGCTTTTGAGTGTCAGAGAAAATTCCCAGGGCTAAGTGTGCATTGTGCACAGTGTACTCAGACATTAGATGAAGACGTGATGACAACTGACCACTGTTCTTTAAAGGAGGTGAATAAATACTGTGTTCTCAAAGGAAAGGGCTTGACTGGAGAAGTTCAGACAATTTTGAGGAATAATTTTCTCTATATTGCTATGGTTTCACATGAAACTGTTACAAGAGATAATAAGGCAATATGAACACATTTGTTTTTGTCTCTCTGTTCAATCTATTTCATTACTATTATACACCTTCCCTGCTTTTACTGACTTTATGTATTACAATTAGGAAAGAAGCATCTTGAGCAACTTTAGCAATGTCAGAAGTACTAATTTTAAAGAAGGAAGGAAGAAAGCAATTACCCCTTTGGTGTATCCCATGCATTAGCTGTAATTTCCACTGCCCAATTTCTGAAAACTCATGTCTGTACCATTTATGGTGAAAAGCAAGTCAGACTTGCCACAATCAACCGAACATTCCAATTCAAGTCTCTGCGAAGAATTTCAACTCAGAACATGCTGCGGAAATTTCTACTGGTTTGAATATATCCACCGGTAGACAGAGTATTCAAAGTAGCTTAGAAAATAATTCTAATTTGATTAACTCAGAACACTAGCCACAAAGCAAAATTAGTACAAGGGAGTCCTTTATAACACTTTTATAAATAAATTCCCTGTTTATGTTTGTTTTGGGAGTAGGACACATGTAAAAATTTCTTAAAGTTCTGCTAGACCAATTCCTGGAAAAGTAAAAACTAGTTTACTTCTTAAACAATAAAACAAATTCATTATTTAAAAGAATAATAATTAGTGTATAAAACAATTGCTTTAGTAAACCAATGTTGATGCTAAATTTCGTATTTACCAAATTATCCAAGAAGGTTACACTGAGAGTTTTAAAACATTTAAATAAATCTAACTAAAACCAGAGCTCATTTACCTTTTTTTATCATTTCCATTTCTCCTATATTCAAGTACAATATCTAAATCCTTGCTTATCTCAATACATATTTTTATTTGTCAAAAAATAAAAATCATACATGTACTTTAATCAGCCCACACACAAAAATCTTTGAATATTTTTTATTTATTAAAAAATGTAGTGATGACATCATATTATACATTTAAAAAAAAACTATAAAGAATCCATTCCAAAACTACTAGAACTAATATCGGAATTCAGCAAAGTTGCAGGATACAAAATTAATACACAGAAATCTGTGGCACTCCTATGCACTAACAATGAACTAGCAGAGAGAGAAATCAGGAAAACAATTCCATTCACTGTTGCATCAAAGAGAAAAAAATACCTACAAATGAACCTAACCAAGGAAGTGAAAGACCTATACTCTGAAAACTATAAGACACTCTTAAGAAAAATAAAGAACATACCAATAAATGGAAACTCATGCCATGCTCATGGATAGGAAGAATTAATACTGTCAAAATGGCCATCCTGCCTAAAGCAATCTACAGATTCAATGCAATTCCTATCAAAATACCAATAGCATTCTTCAACAAACTAGAGAAAATCATTCTAAAATTCATATGGAACCACAAAAGACTTCGAATAGCCAAAGCAATTCTGAGAAGGAAGAATAAAGCTGAGACATTATGCTCCCCAACTTCAAGCTTTACTACAAAGCCACAGTGATCAAGACAATTTGGTACAAGACAAATTGGCACAAGACAAATTGGCACAAGACAGTACAAGACAAATTGGCACAAGAACAGACCCATAAACCAATGGAATAGACTAGAGAGCCCTGATATAAACCCAACCATATATGGTCAATTAATATATGATAAAGAAGCCATCAACATACAATGGGGAAATGACAGCTTCTTCAACAGCTGGTGTTGGCAAAACTGGACAGCTACATGCAAGAGAATGAAACTGGATTATTGTTTAACCCCATACACAAAAGTAAACTCAAAATGGATCAAAGACCATAATGTAAGTCATGAAATCATAAAACTCTTAGAAGACAACATAGGCAAACATCTCCTGAATATAAGCATGAGCAACTTCTTCCTGAACACACCTCCTCAAGCAAGGGAAACAAAAGCAAAAATGAACTCATGGGACTACATCAAACTAAAAAGTTTCTGAATGGCAAAGAACACCATCAACAGAACAAAAAGGCATCCTGCAGTACAGGAGAATATATTTGTAAATGACATATCTGACAAGGGGTTAACATCCAAAATATATAAAGAACTCAGACACCTCAACACCCAAAAAGCAAAAAACCCGATTTACAAATGGGCAGAGGATATGAAGAGACAGTTCTACAAAGAAGAAATTCAGATGCCCAACAGACACACGAAAAGATGCTCCACATCACTAATCATCAGGGAAATGCAAATTAAAACCAAAATGAGATATCACCTCACACCAGGAAGGATGGCCAACATTGAAAAGACTAAGAACAACAAATGCTGGCAACAATGCGGAGAAAGGGAAACCCTCCTACACTGCTGGTGGGAATGCAAGCTAGTTCAACCATTGTGGAAAGGAATATGGAGGTTCCTCAAAAAACTGAAAATAGAAATACCATTTGACCTACGAATCCCACTCCTTGGAATTTACCCAAAGAATACAACTTCTCAGATTCAAAAAGACATATGCACCCCTATGTTTATTGCAGTACTATTTACAAATAGCCAAATATGGAGGCAACCTAAGTGTCCATCAGTAGATGAATGGATTAAGAAGAGGTGGTATATAGATACAATGGAATACTATTCAGCCATAAGAAAGAAACAAATCCTACCATTTGCAACAACATGGATGGAGCTGGAGGATATTATGCTCAGTGAAATAAGCTAGGCAGAGAAAGACAAATGCCAAATGATTTCCCTCATTTTTGGAGTATAACAGTGAAGCAAAACTGAAGGAACAAAATAGCAGCAGACTCAGAGACTCCAAGAAGGGACTAGTGCTTACCAAAGGGGAGGGGTGTGGAAGGGCAGGTGGGGAGGGAGGGAGAAGGGGATTGAGGGGTATTATGTTTGGTACACATGGTATGGGGATCATGGGGAAAACAGTGTAGCACACAGAAGGCACATAGTGGATCTGTGGCATCTTATTACACTGATGGACAGTGACTGCATTGGGGTATGGGTGAGGACTTGATAATATGGGTGAATGTAATACACATTATTTTTTCATGTGAAACCTTCTTAAGAGTGTATATCTATCATACCTTAATAAAAAAAATGTGCTAAGTAATAAAATCCCAACATCAAATGCCATTTTAAAGAGTATCAGGAAACAAGTATTTTGAAGACACCATGTTAATTTTGATCAAAAACCTTCTACGATACTCCAACATTCAAGAAATCAAACTTCATTCGTTCATTCAACCATTTTAGTGAATAT